AAATGATTGCAACCACTGGTTGCAACCACCTTTACAACCATTTTGTTTCCTTTTTTGGATTGCGACATGGAACACTATCGCAAACGCTTTCATCTGCTTCCCAATGTCCAATTATTCAAAGTCTGTTAATTGAGACATGATGTTTTAATTAAAATAACAAATTGAAAGTTCAATCTTTTTTTTTTAAAAAAAATCTAGTTTTGGTTAGATATTTCAGCCGTAATTGCCCTTTAAAGTTTGTTCACGCATAATGATAATTGTCTTGCATAAAAAATTCATTCCGATTTTTTTTACATTTTGTATTAATGCTCCATGAATATTCGATCAATAATTATGAACGTGTATATATATATATTTGAGAATAAACAGAGCAACATTTTCTAAGTTCCCAAGATGTGTTAAAACATCATATCTTAAAATAGCTCCAAGTGCTACTTTTTCAGAAAATTTTCGGAAAATTTTAATTTGACTTTTAAACATCATATAATTATCAATAACAATCAGCCCAATGTGATATTTTAGATTGTTATGGTAAACATTTCAAAAAACATTTTCTTACTAATACACAACATCGATTTGCTTAGTAAAAAAATGAGTATTTGTATTACCTGTTTATTCAATTATTTTGGCAGATCATCAAGTGAGTTGATACTTTTTGTAGGGGTGTGTATGTAAATTTTTTCAATATGAAAATTCAAACTCTATCTCCTCTAGATTTGTAAAATAAACCTTTGTTTAAATTTGATATATGAACATTACATAACACATACTTCAAAACAATGGTTTTATTTTTTTAATTTTTTGTTTTAAAAAAATAATATGCTGAAAAAAAATTTTTAAACAAGATTAATGAAAAAATTTTATAAATTTTATAAAAATCTACAACCATTAAGTGATTCAGGCTTTCGTTTGATATTATTTTTATAACTGTAAGTGTAATATTGGTGGACGAGATAGATTTTGAAATTTTGTAGAGATTTATTAATACAATGGATTTATGGTGATCATCATGTTTTACACATTATATCATAAAACTAAAAAAAAAGAAGTGTAAGCAAATTAGATTTAAATAATTATTTTAACTTGTATAATGTATAGATAGATAAAGTTGAAATCATGTATTTATCCACAAAAGAAAACCTTGCAACTGTTAGAAAAGAGCAGAGGGAACAAATGGTAAATTAAATATTTTATAATTATCAAATTGCACAATGAATATAATAATAACAAATACTTATTATGTATGCTTTTTTATCTGTTACTCAAGTGTGAGAGCAGCAAAGAAAATTTTGGAGAAGAAGCAGCAAAAGCAATTTTAGGAGAATATTTATTATAATTATTACAATATTATTATTATTATTATTACAGTGAACCCTCCCTAAATGAACCCTCTCTAAATGCACGCACTATGTATACCCTCCATAAATGTACACTCACAAGAAATAGCACTATGTTCCTGTGGGGGTGCACTTACAGAGGGTTCACTGTATTATTTATTTTTATTATTAAAAATGAGCTACATTTCACCTAATAAAAAATCTTTACATATAATTTTTTATATGTGTGCTCAACTATGTTTGTGTTTATACTGATGTGTAACACCTCAATCCTATATGGGTCAATTGATTGTATTAAAAATCTATTTGATAATCAACTCACTGAACAAGCCAACATTCCAAAATAATTCATGTTACCAGCAATTTAAACCTTGGAAAGTATAATTATAGTCAAATCTCATCATAATGAATTTACTAAAAGTTCATTATAACATGTATTTAATTATTGTTACACTTATGTTTTAACAGGGTCTAAATTATATATTAGCAAATTTGATTGCTCAGTAATCATATAAATGACACATGTGTGCATTTAAAGAGGGTAGTTTATATAGAAGGTGTTGATTATTTCTAGGAATGAAGCAACTTGGTTCAGCTTGGCCTCGGTCCAGTGGAACTGAGTTTGAACTGTTTTTCATTTGACTGCCCCATCTCCAAGTCCTGACCTTGGAGACTGAATGATAGGGTGCACTTACAAGGGTGTGTGCATTTAGATGGGGTTGGCTGTACATATTTTAAGAGCAAAATGAATAATGAATGAATGAATATAGATGTTATCCAGATATCAACCTTTAATATTACTATTACTATTACAGATATTCATGGATAAATGTCAAATATCTACAATAATACAGTCAGGGAATATTCCAAATATGGAAATGAATTCCAGAAAAATCCCATCGATCAATTCATATATTTACAA